TTCCTATAGGGAACAAAGGATCTCTAAGAATCAAATCCACATATATTGCTGGTAGCTTATGAGGATATCTAGGAATTAACCATACCCCAGATGCAAACTGTGTCTACTTATATAAAAAGGATAAGAGATAAAAAGTTGGCTTATTAAAATTCCGAGACAGTTGGTCAAAATCAGATGATCAAATAGAAACAGGGGGAATATTATATATGCAAGAACAATCCATTGATTAATAGTTGGCTCCCTAAGTACATTTGGTAACTAATGTGAATATTACCATAACCAACAAACACAAAGTAACAAATACACCTAAAAAAGGCTTCTAATCACATAACCACCTTCTAGAAAGGGTGCAATGAGAAAATAGGCCTTCAAAATAAAGCTAATTACAAATAAGCCTCTGAATCAAACTGCTACAACTACGACCTTTTCTCCCTATTTATAATAGATCTAATCTTTCCACGATATCCTTCTTAATCTGTAACACAACTGTTCCAGTTTGAACATTCATGTGCTTGAATGTAGTCCAGTTCCTAGCCTTCCAAGTAAATAATCTTGTTTGTTATCTTTTACAAGTACATTGGTTTCTTCATAAACAAACATAAATAAGTTGGGATCTTCCTCCATAAATAGCATCCCATCTCTATATCCCTAACACAACTATTAGTACTTTTTTAGTAGCATTAAGCTCTCAAATTTCTTCAAGAAAACATACAAAAATGGCCATCAGAAAATCAAACAACTTAATCACAAGCTGCAGTTTTAAAGCAAAATTATGAATAGGTATTCAAATTTGGGTATGCTGAGATTTATTTGCTAATGAGTCCAACCAACGACCCGACCCCTAAGAGAAACAATCATTTAAAGTAAATAAATTATAAGATCAGAACATAAGCAAGATAAGTGAAAGAGACTATGGGTCCTAGGGAACTTAAAAAGACACATGGTGATCTCTAATGCTTTTATGATTGAATGCAGTCTGGGATAATCTTGAAAAAATAGGTGAAAGAAATGACACTAATTAACTTCAACATGCACTAGAAAAATTTAGCTCTTAT